AGGAAATGCTCACTTGCCAGGATGTACCACAACTTATGTGGCAATGCTAAATATGTGACAGATTGACACTCACCAAAAAGAAACAATATGGCTCCAAAAGAAACCATACTCCCAGAATACGGCTATTCTATTCATTCTGATAACTCAAATTATAGAGAAGAGTCACTGCCCAGAAAGATGACTTATATAAAAACAGAGATTCTTACCTGAACATGATCTTGAAAGGAGTTTTCCTCCATCACATAAAAAAAGGTTTCAATGTCCCAGTTACATACCAAAGACCCGCTAGAAAGAAACAGAGTCCCTGGGCAGGAAACGGTAAAGACAGCAATCTCTGAATAATACAAGAACTTAAACAATGTTGACAGTTAATGTGACACAAGAGTTTTTTCTCTGAATTCAAACAGAAGCCCCTCGACCCCAGGGCTCCACTGAGCCTGGGATGTTATGTTTACAAGAAGCGGTACAGGGGCAACACTCGGATCCACTTTGACAGAAAACATGTGGGCTTTCTTCTAAGGAAAGAGGAAGATGGGCAGAGACCGTAGGCAGAGGAAGAACTGTAGTGGGAGGGGCAGTTAACACTGGGAAACATGAAAGGGAGAAAAAGTCCCGGGGCCCTGGTTCAGGGTGGATTAGGAATTCTCTTCTGAGTCAGTGCCATTATGGAATACCTGAAGCCCAAAATGAAAACAAGGAGTGTATGTTCGGACTTCTGTCTAGGTTCTGCTTTGAAAAGCATCTCAACTGGCTGGCTGTGAGAGAGAACTGAAGAGTGGAGGACATTTTCCTTCTTCCCTCTCCTGGATTTATCATTCAGTTCTAGAGCAAGCAGGGTCAAAGACCTCTCAGATTTAGGCATCTATCAGCCAAATGGAAGAACAGCCTACAAGAAACTGTAACAAATCACTCAAGGCAGGGGAAGGCAGGGGGGAACAACTCATTTCTAGCCATGGTCTATACAGTCTAAGAAGTCTTTTTATAGAGATGATAGGATGAGTAATATCAAAAGTTTAGTAACTAATCGAGATAGTGAATTTGAATATTTTTAGAGATTCTATTGAATTGGGCAACAACGTCCTTATTTGGAAGCTTGAGACTCTATGGTGTTTTGTGAAATGATGAAAAATTATAAAAGACAGGAAATTTGACAAAGTATTATATAACAAGACCATGTAGTCATTGCTCAGAATTCTCTATTCCTGAACCAGACTGTCTAAGGAAAGGTGGAAAGTTGATTCTTGAGATCATACAGAATAAATGAAAAACCACAGAAATAATTTTAGAACCAACATTTTACTTGGTACTTATTTATTACACAGTGAGATTAAAACCTTGGTGCTTTGAAGAAACAGAACTATATATATTAGATCTTAAAATTGTCTGGTCTCTCAACTTTCTAAAAAATATAGTATCACATGCCTCAACCTTAAAAAATTTTGAGCTATACACCTTGTCTTCACATCAAAGTGACCAAAGCAAAGACACAATGAAAGTTCAATCAATGTGGAGCACCCTGGATGGTTCAGTCAGTTGAGCATCCAACTTTTGATTTTGACTCAGGTCATGATCCCAGGGTCATAGGATCAAGCTCTGAGTTGGGCTCTACTCTCAGCATGGAGCCTGCTTAAGAGTCTCTCTCCCACTCCCTCTGTCCCTCCCCTGCTCACGTACTCTTTCTCTCAAATAAATAAATAAATCAAGTTGAAGCAATAGAAGTAACTACTTTTGACATCAATGCTATAATTTCAATATCTGTCATGGGTCGGTGACAAAGGTGAGAAGCTTTTAAAGGTGGGTCCCACCACGGTTTGAAAACTCAAGAATGACATCAGCACATTAACAATACAAAGGTTACACACAAGTTAAGAGCAGTAGGAAATTACTGCAGCAGCGATCTTATCAGTTATAGAAAATATATCCACAGGGACACTGTTAGAATGCACCAGGGAGTGTCAAACGTGACACTTTTCCAGGGGTGCCTGGGTGGCTCAGATGGTTAAGTGTCCGACTTCGGCTCAGGTCACGATCTCGCGGTTTCTGAGTTCTGGCCCCACTTTGGACTCTATGCTGACAGCTCAGAGCCTGGAGCCTGCTTTGGATTCTGTGTCTCCCTCTCTTCTCTGTCCCTCCCCTGCTCGCTCTCTCTCTCTCTCTCTCTCTCTCTCTTTCTCAAAAATAAACATTAAAAAATCTTTTTAAAAATGTGACACTTTTCTAGTTTCAAAAAAAAAAAAGGGAAGGAAAAAAAAAGAAAAGAAAAAAATGACAGAGGAGAAAAAATTCCTTCCAAATAAGCCTGGAAGGACTACATCACAGGTAACTCTGGGCAAATATCACACTAACCCACTATGTGAAATAAAACACTTTGTTGACAAAAAGAAAACAAAGAGTTCTCACCTTCTTTGCTTGGTGTAAGGGGGTGTAAAGGATCACCTGCCTGGAATGTCCTAGAGGAAAGAGCTAACTTGAGGCACTGAAAAATATGCCTGCTAAAAATGAGCCATATGGCCTAGCACAATGTTTTCCAAAGTGTGGTCCACGTGTACATGACATTATTTTCTACGAGGACACGGACAAGTTAATGTGTGCGTACATATGATCTTCTATTTATGGCTGGTGATACTGATTTTCCATTTCTGGTAGCAATTTTTTTTTTAAGTTTCTTTATTTTGAGAGAGAGAGAGAGAGAAAGAGAGAGAGAGAGAGCAGGTGAGGGGACACACAGAGAGGGAGAGAGAGAATCCCAAGCAGGCTCTGCAATGTCAGCGTGGGGCCCGACACAGGGATCAATCTCACGAGCCCGAAGATCATGACCTGAGCTGAAACCGAGTCGGACGCTTAACCGACTGAGCCACCCAGGAACTCCACAATGTTTGTTTTGTAAGGTAGGTATTTCATATAAAAAGTGATTCTACTTAAGCACCAATCAGAGGCCCTCCACGAACTGCAAGCAGTGAGGGGGGTGACTGCTTTCCCTAACTTTGGTGAAAGTTCAGAGATTTATTCTTTGGCCTAATCTCTACACTAAGGAAGACCAACCGCGGGTGATACCATGTGAAAAAAAGAAGGATTAAGTGAATCGGGGCAAGAAATACCCAACTCTCGTCCCCTACTCAGCTTTCAGGAAGCCAAGTTTATGCTCCAGGGAAGAAGCTGGAGAAGTCTTCTTTAAAAATATGACAACCCGAAAAGAAAAAAAAAAAAGACAACCCAAGAGGAAAAACAAAGAACATCAGACGGTCCCCAGTTAAAAAGCCCAGTCAAATGACCCTGTATTGAAGTTAACAAGACCCACTCATGCATTCAAATCAGCTGTTTACCCTCATGCTTTTAAATATGGATAAACACCCAAAGATTAGCAGACATCTGAGAAAAGCCTCAAAAATAAAAGATAAAAAAAAAAAAACCTCACAAAACAAAAAACAAAGTAGTGTGAAGGAAACGGATTCTAAAGGAAAAACTTCCAACAAGTTTTAAAAAGTTAATAATTTCAGAGAAAAAAAAAGATACCATAAATCAGGAAATACAACATGATGTTATAAAAAGGAACATACAGATGGGGTGCCTGGATGGCTCAGTTGGTTGGGCGTCCAACTCGGCTCGGGTCATGATCTCATGGTTCGTGGGTTCAAGCCCCATGTTGGGCTCTGTGCTGACAGCTCAGAGCCTGGAGCCTGCTTTCAGATTCTGTGTCTCTGTCTCTCTACCCCTCCACCACTCGACTCTCTCTATCTCTTTCAATAATGAATAGACATTTTAAAAAAATAAAAAAGGAACATAGAGGAAAAAAATTTTTTTAACATTTTCTTTTTTTTAATTTCTTTTGTAATGTTTATTTGTTTTTGAGAAAGAGACAGAGAGCGAGTGGGGGAAGGGCAGAGAGAGGGAGACACAGAATCTGAAGCAGGCTCCAGGCTCTGAGCTATCAGCACAGAGCCTAATGCAGGGCTCAAACTCACAGACCACCAGATCATGACCTGAGCCAAGGTCACACGCTTAAGCGACTGAGCTACCCAGGCGCCCCCGGGAAAATGTTTCAAAAGCTTCTTCTTGGTGACAGCACTCTCCCTGTCCATCACACTTCTACCTCCTGAAAAGAATTCTACCTTAATCTGTCTGTCGTTTAGGAAAATACATCCCTTTCCCTAGTTACTTTTTTGGTAATTGTAAGAGCAACATTTGCTCAAGTTTCTCCTTGATACTAAGAAATTACAGGCAAATCTCAAGTCTCAAGAGAATGCTTGATACGATCTTTTTCATTTAATTTCTCACTACTCTTTGGAAGAAATGACAGGCCAAGGTGTTCACCATCCACATGACAGAACTATTATCCGGCATGAAGAGCATTTACCTCGTCAGTATCTTCCCGAAACAGACCGAGTGTCCTGGGTCTGAATAAGCTCTGTAGTAAACGTGTGATGATGAATTCATTCCCAATTCTTTACGTGGGATGAGTCAGATCTCCAGACCTTTAAGATCATTTAATTTTCATTCAACACTATTTTTTCAGTCGCCGTAATACTCAGACCTTTCCCAAAACATCACAAAGGTGAAATCCTTGCCTGTAAGGTACGCACAACCCCTCCATTAACTACCACTTACTGGGAGCCAATTATATGAAACTGTGATGGCTGATATTTCGGTAAGAGAGAAATAGGGTGTTGTGATAAAGAACAAGAGAGGGGAGAAGAGAGGGAGGATGGTCAAGTCAGAAAGCAGTGTTTTCTTTAGGAGTTAAGAGAGAGACTCTTTCAGAAGAGGGATTTATACAGTTGGGCTCCTTTTCTTTGTGTCCAAATAGCCCCACACGGAGAGAATCTGCCACATCCAGGAAAGGCTCAAGAAACATTTGCTGCATGAACCTAAGAACGGAACCAAATCAATCTTAGCACCCACAGGACTAGCAAGTGTAGTCTAAATCCCCTTTGGACACAGCTGCGTGGGAGAGTCAACACAAGGAGAGGCACAGCATTTCTCTGCGAACAGCAGCTCCTTACCTGTTGTTGTACCGGTACCTGCTGCACCACCTGGGTAGGTACCGCTGCTTGACTAGCCACAGATGTCTGTAAAGTCACTGTCGAACCTGTGTCCGACCCGGTCTCTGATGTCTGCATGATGGTCTCTGAAATACAGTATCAGAAAGAAAGTTTTAAGTGCTCTCCTTGCATGATTAGCTACATTACATTTGTTCTAAAATTCCTATACTTAGGGGCGCCTGGATGGCTCAGTTGGAGGAGGGTCCGACTTCGGCTCAAGTCGTGATCTCGCGGTCCGTGAGTTTGAGCCCCGCGTCGGGCTCTGTGCTGACCGCTCAGAGCCTGGAGCCTGCTTCAGAATCTGTGTCTCCCTCTCCCTCTGTCCCTCCCCTACTCATGCTCTGTCTCTGTCTCTGTCTCTCTCTCTCTCTCTCAAAAATAAACATGAGGAAAAAAACCTATACTTAGAGTAACTTTCAACTCTCAGAATATTTCTTACCCCAACATACTGCCATGATATTCCAGGCAGCTTTATAGTCATTCTGTTCACTTTTTAAGTCTACACAGAAAATTACCAATTCACATTAAAAAAAAAAAATCCCCATTTACACTTCTTATTTTGAGGCTATAAAAGTTGAACTTCATTGAAATCTACCTTCCTTAGGTCTCATCTGTTAATAAAAGTTTCAATCATATTATAAACTGTAGACCAAAATTATTTTAAGATTCTCAATTTTCAGAACACAAACCCTAGCTGGATGCAAGTATGTCATAAAATTTTATTTTCTAGACACTTTTAGAGGCCATTAGCGTGTCCCCCAAAGGTGTACAATTCAGAATACATTATTCCTAACATCCTTTCCAACTTTCAAACTTACTATGCAGTGATCTAAAAAATTAATAATAATAATAATGTATATCCAAAACTTAACCAAAGGATCAAGCTCACTAATTTGCTCTGACTGTGGTATACTGTACTAAAATCAACCTTGATTTTACCCAGAGATAGCCAAACATCAACAACGTTTAGTATTTTGGACATGGGGAGGACCGCTATTATGTAAATGAGGCTGGTAAGCAAGACACGAAATTTTAGCTTCTCTCATTCACAGTTCAGCATGGCACATTTTTAAAGTTCGTATGTGCCTGATCTAGCTACACAGGTTAAATTTTGCAGTGTGTAATGTAACAGGTATGGTTTCTAAGACCTCCTGGTCTCAACATTCCCTTTTGCTACTTATAGAGTTAATGAAATAAATATTAATCTGTTACTGAGCAGGGACCAGAATTCTAATATTCTTTCCTGGGGGGCTGGGGGAACAATATTTAATTGGTAATTTAAGAAAAATACTGCACTGTGGTTTATATCTGTGAACAGCAGGGTGAACATTAATTTACCCCAAGAAAATTCAAAAAGAGCATCCAGTTCTTTCAAGTAGAAAATTAAGCCCCAGGGGTGCCTGGGTGGCTCAGTTGGTTAAGCGTCCAACTTCAGCTCAGGTCATGATCTCATGGTTCGAGAGTTTGAGCCCTGCATCGGGCTCTGTGCTGACAGCTCAGAACCTGGAGCTGCTTCAGATTCTCTGTCTCCCTCTCTCCCTGCCCCTGCCCTGCCTGCACTCTGTCTCCCTCTCAAAAATAAACATTTTTAAAAATTAAATAGAAAAAAGAAAGAAAAGTAAGCCCCTTACCATCTTTTGTCAACGCGTCCCCTCTCTTCCAATGTTTCCCCCAAACCTTTTCTATCATCTCATTCAATTTTAGAAATGGACCTCTGAAGACATCTAATCTACTCTTCTCATTTTATAATGAGGACACTGAAACCCAGAGAGGTTAAGAGACTCACTCAAGGGGACAGGAACAGATGTGAGGCGAGGCCTTTTTGCTTTGAATCCATGCTTATTTTTCTTTTCTAGACCTTGACATTGGCATCTCTTTAGGTGATTTGCTTACTCTTTTGTTAGCCAAGGCCCTCAAGCGGCACAATAAACCTTACCACTGCAACAGATACGGCAATGACAGCTAACACCGATTACATGTTCAACCTATGCTAAGGACTCTTCCAAATGCTCTACGTGTTAATTTATAAGTAAATTAATCCATGTAACACCCAGGTGTGACTGGTAGGATTATAATCTCCATTTACAGATGAGGGACCTCGGGCATACAGAGGGAAGGTGGGTAGGAGCTTAAAAAACAAAGGGAAAGTGATACAGACTGTGGCTACCACATCATTTACTTGGGTCAGCTCTTCACGCTCAGCTCCAAGACGTTGAGAATTTGTGGGAAGTCTCCCAATTATCCCAGAGAAAAAAGCTGGAAGTTCAGATTTTTATGTGAGATCTTCCAAATGGTGGCTCATTTAAAAAAAAAATCTAGCATTCATCTCCAAGCAAACACACACACACACACACACACACACACACACACACACACACACACCCACACATCCCTCTGGGCTACCATTAAGATCATGGATATGCCTGAAATTGAGAATGACAGTATTCACCACACAAAGTTCTTGCCTAAGTAAGATGACTGGAGGACCCTTGGTCGTCAACATTTGGGGAAGGGATACACATGAGGAATCCTATCTGTATCTCTTCCTTTATTCCATCACAGAGGGGGGGAAATGCCCTCCCAAAAAGGAAAGCGAAACTCAACGTCCTTTGATTCACTACATGCTTATAGGCCATCAATCCCTTTTGTGCTACAGCAGAAGGGCTGTGAGTGAGGGGAGATGTCTTTCTGCAGAGAATGAGGAAGGAACCAGATGTTGCTTACCGCGTCTTTAGTGAGGTTTCCTTAGCCTCTCTAACTAATGCCAACCTAGGTGGAGGCCTCGGTCCGTTTAGTATACAAATGAAGAAAACAGAGTCGCCAATTATGTCCAATCAAAGGTGGGTGTTTCTTAGAGTGTAGTCACTCACCTAAAACTCCCTCCTATTTCTCCCAGTGCTGGCTGGGAATTTTCTCGAGGCTTTCTCGTGTGCCCATACGTTGTAATGCAGACCAGCCTACACACCCATTTTAGGCTACGACCCAACCTTGACATCGACTATTTTAGACCTAACATATGCAACAATAAAAAGAAAGATCTCTTTAAATATATTTTTAAAGCAATTCCTAAGAATTCTCCATAAACCACATGAGAAAGCTTATCAGAAGATAAAGGGCATAGATCTGAAAACTGGCTTCTCAAGACTATATTATATTAGACTCCAGAGACAGGCTTTGGTTCAGAGTAACTACAAATTAAAATTCTTAATTGCCAATATTTAAATATCAGAAATCTGTGGTAAAAACCAAATTTCCAGATACAAAAAAATGTGAAGATTTAGAAAAGGTGAGCATACAGTGTATGTTTTATAGGCAAATTATTTAAATGGAAATACTCCTTCACTTGCCTGGCCTCTATAGGCATTTGAGTTCATGACACTTTTTGCGGTAACCAGAAATTCAGTCTTACCAATCCAGATTGAAAATGGAGAATTATTTTTTGGGTTTGAGACCATCTTAATAACATTTAAACTCATTCACTTCTTTTATACAGAATAGAAATACCCAGGTTTGACCACTTTACCAACAAAAATGCATAACCAGATGATTGGAACTAATATTTTCCCCATTTTACAGACGAGTCAACAGGAGACTCACAGACGTTAAGTCACTTAACCAAGGTCAAGCAGCTGGAGGTAGGAAAGGAGGGTTTGGACCTCCCACTGAAGTTCACGCACTAGACGACTAGACCAAGTGGAGAGTCCTGAATCGCACAGATAGAAGGGAGTAAAAGAAAATAATGCAAACTGGGGAGATTTTCAGAATGAGAAAGAAGGAAAAGGTCCCAACTACTTTATAGGAGCAACCTTTGCAGAACAGACTCGGGAAAAAAAAATGGATAGAAAATGATGGCTTTATAACCTCAGGTTAGAAAGTCACGACGAGCTTTCCATCCGGCCTCTGGCTCTACGCATATGCCACGTCAAAACCGGCACATAAAGTCCCATCCCAGGCAACAAACAGCTGCCCCGGAACATCATCTGTTTACTCCTGAGTGGCTGATCCCCATCCTGTCTCACCAGCTCTTGGATCATAAAGGGTCATGCCAACTGATAAGAACTTAGTTTCTCCATCTTTCCTTGAAAGACACAACTTCATTCTCCTTTAATGGCATTGTCTTCCTCGGTTGTTTTTTTTTTTTAATTTTTTTTTTTCAACGTTTATTTATTTTTGGGACAGAGAGAGACAGAGCATGAACGGGGGAGGGGCAGAGAGAGAGGGAGACACAGAATCGGAAACAGGCTCCAGGCTCTGAGCCGTCAGCCCAGAGCCTGACGTGGGGCTCGAACTCACGGACCGCGAGATCAAGACCTGGCTGAAGTCGGACGCTTAACCGACTGCGCCACCCAGGCGCCCCTGTCTTCCTCGGTTTTGAGGAAGAGGCTTTCTTTGCCAAAGCCTCATGGCTTGAGAGGGTCTCAGTCACATCCGTGGCAGAGACTGGCTCAAAAACTCATGACCATAATTAGGTCTCTCGGCTAACAAGTATCTCCCAGGTGCCACACATTATGCTGACTGCTTGAAATACTTCTCATTTAATCCTCTTAGGACTCCCATAATGGAAGCGTTCTTATTTCCACTTTAAAAATAAGGCAACTGAGGCACAAATGTACTCAATAACTTGCTGAAAGCCACAGAGCTAGTAAGGGGAAGAGCCTGAATTCAACCCCAGGTTTATCGGACTCCAAAGCCCGCGATGTCACTCTGGCTAGTACTTTGCAATATCATGATGATAAGGCTTCCAAATGAAAAGCTAGAGACTATTATTGATCTGAACAGCAAAGTCTTTGGGATTCTCAACCCACTGTATTTCATCTACACTTCCAATAACAACGGACAGACATCCCTTCTCTCTCTGACATCGAAATTAGGAAGTATTCTCTTTCTGCTGAGGCCATAATAAAACCTAACTAGTAAGTATTTTTCCAGAGGCATTTTAACGGATTAATTCTGAAGACCTGACTTAACAGCAGATCAATTAGAATGTTAAAGCATGTTCGAGGAGTATAACCCTCCTGCCAAATTTTGCTAAACAGATCATTTAAACCCACCGACGCATTCAGAGTATTCTGGTAGCC